ATATATGTATCCTCTTTCTGTTTTTATTTTTTCCCCTGGAAGCCTAATGCTCACTGTAAATTCTCACGTTTCTTATATATACGTCAACCAGTGGGATCTTTGTCCACTCTTCGGTCCCAGGATCTAAACGTTTCTTGATGTCTCAAGTGTCGTTTTTCTCCACTTGTCAGTATTATATAATAACAGCTTTATGCCAGGCTGTTATAACTGCCTGGGCCAGCTAACAGCAACAACCTGCTTGAACAATCAACAAAGAAGCTTACTGTCCATCACTATATTCCAACTGCTTTCACCATTTTAGTTTCAAGCCTGTACACTCCCATTATTTTTCTTCACTTTCCGCTTATTTGCTGCCTCACCCACTTCACATTCACTTCGGGTACTTATTTCCTTTAAGTTAAATTTCCTTTCTCCTTGTTTCGTCTCATTATCTACACTCTAGAAGTCAGAACATTATTTCAGTTTCTCTTAATAAACCTTCCTAATACCTCCTCTCTCTCTCTCTCTCTCTCTCTCTCTCTCTCTCTCTCTCTCTCTCTCTCTCTCTCTCTCTCTCTCTCTCTCTCTCTCAGTTCATTTTTAACCAGGATGGGACCCACAATAGTCGACTATCACCTAGGAACTTATTTTGTGCTAGATGAATAAGGGTAGCATGTGTAAGGAGTTTTTCCCAAGACGTCTCTCTTGTACGTTGAGTGTGAATGCGTCCTCATTTGAGTGCGTCTTCACCTGTGTGCCTCCTCTCCTGAGTGCGTCTTCACCTGTGTGCCTCCGCTCCTGAGTGCGTCCTCATTTGAGTGCGTCTTCACCTGTGTACCTCCTCTCCTGAGTGCGTCCTCATTTGTTTGCGTCCTCTCCTAGGTGCATCCTCACATGAATGCGTCCTCAGTTGTGGTTCATGAGGGAAGAGGTGGTCGAGTCTCGACTCTCAGCATCTCAGTTACTCACAAACGGTCACACGTTATTTATGGCCACATGGGTCATTTCATACCTACTCATAAAACTGTGCACAGAATGTGTGCGTGTGTGTATACATGTGTGTATCTCCATGTGTGTATTTGTGTACATGTACCTAATTATTTTAACGTTAGATGTGAAAAATATATATATTAACTCTGATGGCCTATCATTACTAGACAATTTAACAGTTGAAAAACTAATGAATATCACAGAGCAGAGGAACGTGGGGAGGGACAGGTATCCCTGTTCCTGGTTACCTGAGGTAGTGATGGGTATCCCTGCCCCAGGCTACTTTACGTTGGGGGGGGGGGAGGGAGTTATCCCTTCCCCCCGAGTACCTAGATGTAGCTACAGCTACTTCAACATATCATAACATTATCACTTAATGCACGTGCCTTAGTAGATGTAAGTGTCAACACTTGTAGAAATTATACTGCAACATGTATAATGTTTGTTATTTAACCTACAGAGGTAAAGGAATTAACTGGGGAAAATATCCTCACGTCAGTGTCATATCGACGGAGGCAGCTATTAAACCCATCCACTTCCACGGATCAACCCTAATTACCTCCTATGTCCCAGAAGCAGCATAACCTTGACGGGTTTAGCGATTCCACACGCCTATTAGAATAAGACTCCCGTTTTAAAGCAGTCTGGTCCGGGTGCGTTGCCCAATGCAACCCCCCCCCCGCATGTAAAACATGCGGGTTTAGCTCTTGCCATGACTACATGAATGCCAGAAAACAGTATTAGACCAGTATTAAACGCTGTTTAGTAATGCAAAAATACAATAATAATAATAAGATGATGATGATGATGATGATGATGATGATGATGATGATGATGATGATGATGATGATGATGATGATGATGATGATGATGATGATTTTGCCACCGAAGTTGCCAGGCTATTGTGTACTTCATATCTATCTTGTGGAGGGTAGCACAAAAACATATTATAACATAAACGGCCCAGGAACTAGACTCCAAAAGGGTTAACAGGAGAGATGAGAAAGAATATTGGGATGAATATTAGATGAGGAGGAGTATTATGATGAAAATTAAGAGGGGGCGGAGGCCCACAACTAGAGACAAGGCGAGTGTGTGTGTCCACTTAGAATGGATATAAATGCTCTGGAAAACGTACAAAGGAGGATGACAAAGATGATCCCATGTATCAGAAATCTTCCCTATGAGGATAGACTGAGGGCCCTGAATCTGCACTCTCTCGAAAGGCGTAGAATTAGGGGGATATGATAAAGGTGTATAAATGGAAAACAGGAATAAATAAAGGGGATGTAAATAGTGTGCTGAAAATTTCCAACCAAGACAGGACTCGCAGCAATGGTTTCAAGTTGGAAAAATTCAGATTCAGGAAGGATATAGGAAAGCACTGGTTTGGTAATAGAGTTGTGGATGAGTGGAACAAGCTCCCGAGTACAGTTATTGAGGCTAAAACGTTGAGTAGTTTTAAAAATAGGTTAGATAAATACATGAGTGGGTGTGGGTGGGTGTGAGTTGGACCTGACTAGCTTGTGCT